ATATATATATATATATATATATATATATATATATATATATATATATAGCTGGAAGACGAAAGCTGATCTAACGTAAGAAAGGGGTCGAAAACAAGAGCTAATACTACTGGCTAATAATTCTCAACTATAATGGGGGGGAGGGGGAATAAGAGAGTGGGAAATAATATCGTTTTTGCAGGATATATCGAGCGGAAAGACGAGGAAAGTACAGAGTGATGGTGAGAGGCGCACGATCTGGGGTGTTGAGCGCGAATTTCAAACGGACGCGTCACACCGTGGCGCACGACTGGCGGCGTAAACTCGGCTTCAGGGGTAAGCTGCTGCTGCTGAGAATCCTGGTTGGCCTTTGTTACGTCACGACTAGTGGCAACTGCGAGTGGAAAGAAGCGAGGATGCCGCGCGGGACCAACAACCTGCAGCAACAAATTGCCCCGAGCCGATTGCCTCAGCTCGGCCACTGCGACCTCGAGGAGAGCTGCGATTGGTCGTGGTTTCAGAACCAAACCGCTGGCTTCAAGAGAAGCACGCCAGCCTCGCTGCGAAACAAGAACCTAGGGCCTATCGTCGACGCCAGCAACTCGATCAAGGGTAACGTTTCACCTACTGCTTTCGTACGATCTTCGTCTTCTTAATCTTCTTCTTTGTCAGTACCCTCTCCCCGCCGTATCGAGCGAATTTCAGATCAGACCTACATACCTGTATGTTTTCGAATCCAAAGAGACAAATAAAACGTACATAGTACGCTATGCGTTCATTATTTAAATTAATTTAGTAATTTAGACGAGAAATAAACAAAGCCGAAGATTTTCTTCAACGCAGATCTTCCTTTCTCTTCAGGGCATTTTTTATGGTTCACCGGCCCCGGAAAGCCACACATATTATCGAGCACCATCCCCCCCACTGGGTCGCACTGCGCGCTGGAATTAGCCCTCTACCAAGTGGAGATGAACAGCGGTGACATCGAATTGCTCGTTATCACGAACAATACCAGTTGGGTGGTCGTGGAAAAACCAGGAAACAATCGCGCCGAGTACGTTTCACATTGTTGTCGCATCAAAAATCGAATCCCGAGTATATCTACATCTATCTAT